TTAACTTGTGCACTCAGAAAGAGGGCCTTGAATACCTTACGCAAGCTTTTGAAGACATGATTAAGTTAAACTCTAAAGCCCTAGAATTTAGAACATATTCTCTCTCAAAGGCAAATTAAATAAGATATGGTTCGGCAAATCAATTTTTAAATATCATTTAGGTGACAGTTCTCTGGAGAATTAAAAGCAACTGTCTTTGCCTTGTTAATTTCTACAAATGAGAAATGTTAAGTACAGCCCATAATGACCTGAGACTGGGTCTAATTAGCTCAAGCAAGTAGAACCTGAAACCAAGGGGAAAAAGGGCAAAAGTGGCCCTTTTAAATTGTGACTGGGTGCAAGTTCCTGCGCCTGATGCCTAGGGAGGCCAAAACCCCAAAACATCAGAGTTTAGAGCAAATAGCAGTTCACTGCAGGGCCAAGTACGGAGAACAGGCACCACCCTGAACTCCCAGATGGTCTGGGGGGAGAAGTGTTTACTAGGCAAAGTTTGGGCTGAGGGCTACAGGGTTTGTGACTTTCTTCGGATCTGTCGGTGGTGAGGTCAAGGGTGGTGCCCAGTGAGTCTTGTGCTCAGCCTGAAGTGGGGGCCTGAGTTCCTGCAGCAGAACTCAAACATTTTGTTGTCATGCCTACTCCTCGAGGAGGAACCAGGAGCCCGCTTTATCGCTTTATCGCTGCATGATTGTCTCTTGACTGCCCCTCCTCTGTTTCTTCATTCCCCGGTAAGCAATTGTTGCAATCTGCTCTTTGGAACTCAGGGAAGAGTCAAGAATGCTGAAGGAAGCTTATTTCCTACCAACAAGAAAGGGACAGGGAAAGGATTTGTACCCAGAGGGCCCCACAAGGTCCTGCTGAGTTTCAAAACTTCTGCAAAGGGTCTCTCGGCCAAAATTCACTTCATAGCCTCCTTCGGGGTAAGGGCTTATCAAGAACAAATACCAATCTTAAAGTGTTTTCCATGACTAGTGAAGCCTTGCTCGTCTGAGCACGCAACTTTAATGTATTCCAACTGTTATTTATAAAGTAGTAGGTTTACATTGCAATATCTGATTCATAACTAAATTTTTTTAACTGAAGCTATGAGAGCTCTAGTTTTTTCTGTGTACACATTACACATATGAGACGTCTCTACTTCTGGGAAATATTATCAAAATTAAACTTATAAAAGAGCTCTGTTTAATTTACTTTAAAGTGCTTATGAACTAAATATTTCTAAATATGAAAGAAGCAGGCCAGAATGAATTTTAGGTTCAAAAAATCTAGAAAGTATTCAGTATTAAATTAACATCTGGCATCAAGCTTAAGATTGCTGGTTTAATCAATAAAGACTTGTCTTTTATTTTACCTAGGTTTAATGAAGGTCAATACATTTATTTTTGTTACAGAGTTTGTCAACAATAAAAAATTAACTTGGTATGATGAAATTCTTATAAATACACTATAAAGGAGACAAGATAAGTTTTGGGGTGAACTCTTTAGAAATAATTATGCTTTAGGAATGTCAAACTTGAAAATAATCTCTTCATAAATTTGATAAGTTGAAGAACTGTGCTAAATGAAGTTAAACAGTAGAAGCTTATTGAAGAGCTAGGTCATACCCAAATAAGATGCTGAGACAGTCTCTTCCTTTACAGAGAAGCTAAAGATATTTAGAGCTATTCATATGTATGTTTGGTGCCACACTGAGATATTTTTATAAGAAAGCACATGTTTTTAGAAATTATTATTGATATTTGTTTGCCATGCCAAACTACAGAACGCAAATGTAGTTCATAATTGCTTACTTCTTCTTAGTACACAGTAGGAAAGTAAGATGTGCATTGTGACAAAAGAAGGTACGAAAGATGGAATTGTGTTTTTTTAAGGGAAAAGAAAATAATTTTGTCCCAAAGTTGGTTCTTTCTAGATGGGGAAAAAATAGGGGACAAAATAATAAGCATACAGAAAGTGGCTGGAAAATAAACCTGAGAAAAGAGTTTTGTGCATGGTCAGGACTGACTGAATTTAGATTGAATTTAATAAAGTAGATGGATTTTGTTGTTGAAAGTAAGCTGGTGTAAGCCTGGAGTTTCATTTTCTCTCTGTTAAGAGAATAAAGTTTTCTTGGAGTACAGCATTGATAGCATTGTGTGAGTTTCTGGGCCTTTAAGTGAGCTGTTTTTACTTTTGAACTCTTTTGTCAACTTTGGTTAAGTGTTCACTGTGATCTTATTTGACCAAGTGTTTTAAAACTTTTTGTTATTTTTGACAAACTTCCCATCAAGTTTTAATTAACATCTCCAGCTAACTTAAAAAGGCTTCAGAGGACCCCTATGGCATCTCAGAGAAGAATATCAGACTAATTAGGCTTATGGTATGTTAAATTACTTGAGAAACGTTGTCAACTGATTAGAGATGAACCTTAGGTTATATTTTGTGGATTACTGTCATTAATACAGATATCTTAAAATGTATATGAATTCCTAAAAATCTGATATGCCCTGGTATAATATTGATCATAATTCCAGTTTTTATCTTAAAATCTTATATGTCACAAATTCTAGTTTTTATCTTGAAATCTTATATGTCACAGCAATATCCAAGTTTCTTGTCAAGTGCATTATAATTTGATCTTTAACCAAGCCTTTTTAAGTCTTGCTATTTAAAGCCAATCATTGTTTTACTTTGATACTTCTATAAAAATGAAGGTCTTTAAGAAAATTCATAGAAAGGATTTTTGACAAATAGAAGTTTCTGATCACTTTTAGATCATATCACTGAGCTGGGTAAGAAATTACAAAACTCTAATGGAAAACCTGAAGATTTCACCTAGATCATCAGGAATTAATTAACTGATAAGTATAATTTGTGATATTGTGACTTTCTGGGAAATATATTCTTAATTTTTGTTTTCTAAAAGAAAAATCTTTTATGCTATGGCCCTCAACAAGTTGACAAAGTATACTTCTGTAAACAAACATGAAACATCTTTTTCTCTCTACCTGATCCTTCTAGGATTTGACTTCTCCAGTTAGATCTATGGACTTGATGATTTATTGCAACCAGATTACAACTATTTATACTAGTCATTATTTTAGTTTCTTCTGTTTTGTTTCCAAATTGTTTATGCTTTGTATCTATCTCTGCTGTACTATGACTTTATTAATATTACTAGCTGTATTGCCTATTGTCTAATTTATAAGATTGTCTCTTGTATTACCCAGTGTGTAACCAGGTCTCCAACAGAACCAATGATGGCTAAAAGTCTTGAGTTAATCCACCATATACACATAACTCTACATAAAATAATTGTAATAGTGCAACTCTAGATATGGGAAGAAGCCACAGGGGAAAACATTTCCTGGATCATAATAGACTAGTAATGCAAGCAATCCAGAGAATTTTAATTATCAACAGGACCTAATCCAAAAAAAATAACACATTGAGTGACCGATCAACAGAATATCTGTCTGGTTTAGGAATGAGCCATTCCTAGCACTGTGCCACAAAATTGCTCATGAAATGTCTCCGAAGGCTGGTCAGATTTTGACCAAGGGGAAGCACTGTGAGAGAAAAATGTTGCCTGCCATATAGTGTGGCTCCCACAGTGAGCCGGCAGGATGGAGACGAACAGGCTGCCTAGTGCCAAGCCCTCAACCATTGCAGCCACCCCCAGCAGTGTACCGAGGGGACTCAGGATGGGGAAGAACAGGATAGTGGCCCTAGGTAGCTAAGGTGCTTAGCGAAGGAGTGATTTCAATGAGCCCAGACTCTTGCACCTTCCCATATATAGAAAAGCACTAAATTCATTAATTCAAGGTATCTGGTTTTCCTTTTGATGTTGTGACTACCTGATCTTTATTGCAAAACTCCAAAAAATCCTGGTTGTTCCTTTACCTCTTTGGAGCAGCACCCCAGAGCTAGTCTGGGCTTGAAGTCCACAGAAAAAGTCATCGAGTGAGACATAATTCTCAACTTTTAGGTTGTGTCTTTTTCCTTCAGTCGACAGGCAAGGATGTCAACACATCTGTGTCTAGCTCCAGGTAACACACAGTTCATTTACACACAGTTCATTTATCCCATAGGATTTTTTCACAGCTAAGCATTTTAAGCTAGGAATCAGAATAGCAAACCTCGCTTCTTTCCTTTAATTCTTCTCACCAGCCCTCAAGGTACAAAAAAGGGTAACAGACCACTTAGTATTCTAGATACACTTTTCAGGTAACACACAGTTCATTTACACACAGTTCATTTATCCCATAGGATTTTTTCACAGCTAAGCATTTTAAGCTAGGAATCAGAATAGCAAACCTGGCTTCTTTCCTTTAATTCTTCTCACCAGCCCTCAAGGTACAAAAAAGGGTAACAGACCACTTAGTATTCTAGATACACTTTAGTCTTGGCTGAGTGATTTAGAATGTTGGCCTAGAAAATCTCCTAAACATCATCTGGTCCCATTTATTTTCCTGTGGTGTTTCCTGGGGTTCATTCAACCCAACAAACCTTTGTACAGATGCAAAGGTCCACAGGTAGTGGGGTAAGAGGGCAAAACATAAGGCGCGCTTCTCTCAGCCCAAACACGCTCAAATGCCTTTTACATTCTCCAGGGCAAAGATTTAGTGTTATGCTTAAAAACAGATATACTAAACAACTCAGCAGGTAGCTTCTGGAAAAGCAATACTTCAGAATCAGCTTGGGGTTGCTGCAATAATTTGTTCACTCCAGGAAGCCAGGGGGTGAGCTAGATGGAAAAATTGTTTTCTTGTCAAAGCTCAGAAAACCGGTACTGCACAATCTGGAGATGCTGTAGCTTATCTTTTTCGTTTAAAGATGGTGAGCTTCTAGGGGTAATCCTAGCTCCTTATAATATGTTATTTGGCATAAAGATTTTAAAAGCTTAGCCTGAGCCATGCTGTGGGACTTGCTAGAACTGACGGAAATCCAACATGCCTTTTACAAACAGTTCCTATGGCTGGTCCATTTAATCAATTGAAAATCTCACCACAGAGGCAACTTACCTTAGTTAATCTTCTTGCTGACTCTCTGTTGGGTCATTTACACTGTCAACCTGACAATTCATGTCAACTGTAACCAGAAGGGAAAACAAAAAGGTTAAATGTTTGTTAAACCCAAGCCTCTTAAGTATATTAAAATGGCCTGTGAATCGCTACATTTCTGACTTCCTATCTTATACCTCTTTTCAATTGGTTTTCATTCATTCAAGATTTGGGGACCACTCTTGTAGATTTTTACTGGTCGGGGAATGGGGGGGCAGAATCGCTCCTTTACTAAACTGTAGGAGCTGTTTTCATTTCATACCAGGTTTGGGGGTTGATATTTTGTGTGTATTTATCACACCACCCTTAGGTAAATTCAAAGGCTTTAATAGACGTCTAAGAAAATAAAGAGAAAACAAAGCAAACCAGATCATCCATGCACAGAGATGTAAGTGGTTTCCTCTGAAACAGCAATGCTAGTAGGCCTGCTAATTCAAAACTGACCCTGAAAACTTGCCAATGCGTGCAGTGGACACCATGAAATGGAAAAGCAAAACATCTACCAGATCACACTGCAATGATAAAATGTGTGCATTTACTTTACTATGTGTATTATTCTATGTACGCATTTGCATACAAATAGCACACATAATTAATGTCATTGTTCAGAAGAAGCCCAGAACAGGCACAGCAGACACTCTGGAAATTTTCAAGGGTCAGTAGGTTTAATTAGATTGGTATTGCTAAAGCATCAAAAGCCCATATTATATACTTAGAGACTTAATATACAGATGAACAATGGCCAGACCATATTTGGCAGTAGAATTTTGACTTCAAAACTCTGCAGCAAGAAGCTCAGAACTTGGTCAGTGACTGCCAGCTTCCCTGTGTTTTGCTCCTTGCTCCCAACACAGGGCCATCAGGGAAAACCAAATGTTCTCAAACCAACCAGACACTTCTAGTTAACCCAACTGGCTTCCCCTTTCTAACAACCTCCTGTCAAGGGTCTTTGAAATCTTCCCTTTTGTTAGATAGAAGTTCCCCACTTCCCTCCTGCCTTTGAGTTGGCCAAACATAAGTGATAAGAGCTGACACCCATGCTCTGGATATGTAACCTGTTTGTTCCCATTTGGGTAATCTTCATTTGTTTGAAAAAAATCAATCATCCAAATCTCTTTTTCTTGAACACAAAAACCTGATTCAAGTAAAACAGTGGCAGGTGCTGGATTTTACATTCCAAAGAGACTTGAAAGAGGGAATGGCTGGTTGGCAGCCCACCCAACTCTCTCTCAAGGAGGAAGGAAAGCAGGTCTTTTTGTTCCTTCTGCAAACACTCCTTGGTTTCTCACCATGTGTGAGCCCACTCTTTACCCCAGGTGTAAACTGGCCAGATACAGCAAGGGTACCCATAAAAATGAATAATGTGTACACTTTCCATCCTGGCGTACAGAGTTATTGTAAGGTTGACCATCTCAGTGTGGACTGTACAGAATAAAATATAGGAGAGTGTTCCTTATTTGTTCCTTCCTCCAACCCAAGGGTTCCTAGGTCTAAAATCTATTAATAAGTGTTAATATGAAAAGCATTTGATGAGCAATGTTAACTATGTTAAGAAGTTTTTTTTAATAGCTGAGACTTTGTGCTCAGTAAACTCTATAGTGAGGGCGGAACCTTAGTATTTAACACATTTATGTCCCTTCTATTCAGTGAGAATTACATGACCTTGGTATTCTTCAGAACATGATTTGTAGATGCTGCTGCTGCTACTAAGTCACTTCAGTCGTGTCCGACTCTGTGTGATCCCATAGACGGAAGCCCACCAGGCTCTCCCATCCCTGGGATTCTCCAGGCAAGAACACTGGAGTGGGTTGCCATTTCCTTCTCCAATGATTTGTAGAGACCTAGTTAAAAATCATGTTTATAGTGTCACAACCTGGCTGGGAGGGTTTCACTCTGCTGAGGATGACTAACATGGAGTGACTTTTAATGGATGAAATCTGGGATTTAAAAATATTATTTTCCTAGATAATGCATGTGCATGCTCAGTCGCTTCAGTTGTGTCCGACTCTTTGCGGCCCTATGGACTGTAGTCTGCCAGGCTTCTCTGTCCATGGGATCCTCCAGACAAGAATGCTGGAGTGGGTTGCCACGCCCTCCTCCAGGGAAGGGTTAAAAAAATAATCAGTTTGCACTGAGTCAAAGATAGGTTCAAAGATGTTTTGTAGAACATGGGGAATACAGCCAATATTTTGTAATAACTACAAATGGAAAGTAACCCTTAAAATTGGATAATTTTTAAAAAATTAAATTATAAATCAGTTGGCGCAGAAGAGCTTGTAATTAAGGGAGTCAACTAAGATGAGGGCATGCCTATAGCAGGGTGGAATGCATGGTATAGGAAACTGTTTAAAAGTACCAAGTAACTTCTAACAGTGGCTAAATTTTCTCAAGGTCATTATCAACCCAAACTGCAAGATTTTATATATACATGTTGATAACTGGCCAACAATTCTGGCTCTCCTAAGCTCTGTGGGCAAATGGAATTGAATATTTAGAAATCATGTGTGCCTAAATAGCTGTTTTTTCTAATGCAAATGATGCTATCTCAGAGGGTTTCCTGTGTCATTGTGCAGGGGCAAGGTGATAATATTCCTGAGGCTCACAGTCTTTAGATGCCTTCAAAATGAGAAAGGACTCAAGGAAGGTTTTCGGAAATTGATGAAGTGCTTTTAAAGACTCACTATGTTTCTGGCCAAGCCATGTGATGTGATACAGTGAGGTGGAGTCATGAAATTTTAAGAATAGCCCAGATTCAAGCCAGGGCTCCTCTGAATGCTGAGTAGTCCCACAGTGTTCACCAGCTAGACTGCGGTTCAGTTTAGCCTTGGCATGACCCACCGTTCCCTTGGTACCGTGAAGTAAGATTAAACTGAGGCACATGCTATTTTTTTTTTAAATGGGCTGTCGATTTTGCCAATTCCCAGTGAAAAGCGGTTTTTGAACTTTACTCTGTTCAAACCGAACATGTTGATTCATAGACTAGCTCCTTTAATCCTAGATTACACAGAGAAAGTGTTCCAGGTTTTATAGTTTCGGTGACTCAAATAGCTCAGAAACTTACCATCAGGACTTGTAGAGCTCTCTGTATCACCAGAGCCTTCGCTTTTCACAGGATCTCTGGGTGTGTTCCCACCTTGAACTGAAAAAGAAGATGGGTCTTGATCAATAGAGAATTAGGATGCCCTGACTGCCAACTGTTCTGTCACCCTCCATTGCACTCTTCAATTTAAAAATACTCCTGGGATTGAATTTCTTTTGCAGAAGAGGTTAAAGGAGGAAATAGTAGGTTGAGTTGCTCGAATACTTCAGTGCTGACATATTCTAAATTCTCTTTAATTTGTGAAATAATCACATACATACATGCACAGTTTCTCAAATTAGAAAGCAGGTAACATGAAAGCAGGGAAACTTGGTTTAATCAGAACAACCCACAATTTGAATTTGGGAAAATCTGTGTGTGAGTTTATGTGGCTTTAACTTTGAAGAGAGTAAAAACAGAAAATCTATTTTGCCTTAGGCATGCCTGAAAGCTGAAAGATTCGTTCTCCTGGCAGTGAGGTTTTTTTTTTTTTGTTTAAACACAAATGAATGTCTCAGTTGTTCCCCTAGAAGACATCCTTAGATGCTGCCATTTTGGACTACTGAGAATCCAGTCTTTAGTTAATTTCTGTTGTAATTTTTCTCTACTCACACAACTTCATAAGACTCGTCCTCCATTCACTGTGGCTGAAGCTATATAACATACTTAAGTGTAGTTGTAAGGACATTGTTTTTCTTTTGCTTTGCATGATCTGATATTTGTACATATTGAAAACTGATCACCATAATAAGTCTAGTTAACATCCATTTTTCTTTTTGTGAGAAAATTTGCTTCTTAGATATCTATTATGTTTTCACAGCTTGAAGAGCCAGGGCATTTGAAAATACAAATAAAGTACTGGAAAAACCCATAACTTCAAAGTTTTTATTATTTCTGTATTTAAAAATAGAATATTAGATTGAGTTTTAGCACATGAGTACCTATTGAGTCCAGAGTGTGTTCAAAGTATGTTCAGTCTGATCTTCCTATTAGCGAAGAGTCAAATCTAGGAAAGATCCAGTGTATAATCTCTTCAAAGGCAGATACATGGAATGTGCACTTTGGGTAATGATTTACTGAAGCTGAGAATCAAGAAGTAAGGTGACTAATCTTGGCCTGGGTAGAGGGAAGGTTGGAAGGTCAGCACTTAAAAGTGCAGAAAGTTATTTTATATTTGAGGACTGAAGTGCAGGCTCATTTAAGGGCAGATACCAAACAAGCTTTGCATCTAATGCTGAGGAGGAAAACTGAGAATCAGACGTGTGGGAATTTGGGAGCTGTCTTTGATCTCTGGCTTGGGAAGATCCTCTGGAGAAGGGAAAGGCAACCCACTCCAATATTCTTGCTTGGGAAATCCCATGGATGGAGGAGCCTGGTGGGCTACAGTCCATGGGGTTGCAGAGTCAGATACAACTGAGTGCCTAACACTTTCACTTTTCAATACAGAATAATGTCATATCATTGATCGCATGAGAGTAGATGAGAAAAGTCAGGAATGGGATAACATAAGAAAAAATGACTCCTGGACAGCCAAGTCCTACAAGGACAGCATTAAACGGACTGTGTCTGTGAGCTTCTTTCACTAGTTCCTGAGGATGAGGTTGGGAAACTGAAAACGAAACTTGAAACTTCCAACTGGACTTAACATCATATTTTTTCTCACTGTCAATTCTAGAAAATAGACAATGTTTCAATTGCTCATCAACATATTCCTTAAAGACACAATTACAGAAGAAATCACTGATGGATATTTTTCTAAGACTGAGAGCAGGAAATCTTTGCTAAGTATCCCTCAAAACAGAAGAAATAAGAAAAAAAAATGGAATATTTGACTTTATATAAACACAGACTTTGGGGTGGAAAAAAATACCATAAGAGATGTTTTAAAAAAGAAATATAAATTGAAAAATATTTATACCTTTTTTCATAGAGAAAGGTAGCTCTATATTTTTGATATATAAAGTACTTCCAAAAAATAGAGGTAAATATTAAGAATTGGATAGAATACTGAGCAAGAAATCTAACAAGAAGTTAATTAAAAATAAGAATGGCCTGCAGTTATGTGAAAACGTGATTCACTTTGCTACTAATGAAAAAAAAAATGCAAGGTAAGATTACACTAAGAAAGAGATTTCTGCCTAAAGTAGACTATCATAATGTAGGGTAATACTCCCATCAAGAATAGAGACATTGAACAGATTTGAGAAATTATTTTAAGGCACTACAGAGCCATTGAAGGAGTCTGAAGAGGTGAAAAATGGTGAACTTGACATTCCGCATGTACAAAGAAGTTTAACAGAGCTTCCAGATGTTTTTTTAATGAAGTTTGGTGGGGGAGAGGGCCAAAACTTGAAGGTCAAGGCCCACCAAAAAAGAGGTGCTCTGATAAGTACCTCAAGTTTTCTATGGGATTCCCCTGTGGGGTTATATTCTGCAGGCCATGAACTTGAAATAGACCAGTTCTTAAAAAAATCTGAAGACCAACTTTTAATCAACCTAATCTCTGACTAGACTTCAGTGCTCTGCTCAATCCTCCCAGCCTTTAAGCAGCAAACATAAATCCTCTCTGGGAGAAGATAAAGTCATCCAGAGGCTCAAGTCATCACTACAGTTTTTCACACATAGTGTCTAGCATTCAATAAAAAATACCAGTCATCCCAGAAGAACAAGTATGGATCACTGAAAACCAAGACAATGAAACGATATATAGAGACATGTTAGAGATATTACTTGTAGATACAACTTTAAAATATGGTTAATGTGTTTAAGAATTGAGTGACAAGAGGGCGAATTCTCATAGCAAAGAAGTTTATCAGATAACTGGACTAAACACTGCATAAAAAAAAGTCAGATATAAATTCTGGAACTGAAAAATATATGATAATTGAAGTTTAGAATTCAATAGGCAGATGTGGCAGTAACAAGACACAGCTGAAGAAATCATTCATAAACTGAAAGCTAATTTAGAATATAAAGAATATTACAGATGAAAGATACAGAGAAGAATTAGTATTATGATCCCCAAACAAAATTAATGCAAAGCAAACCTCATTGAAGTCAATCGTTATAAAACTGCAGAAAATCATGGTTAAAGAAAAACTATAAAATTATTTAGTGAGTAAAGAAGGATTCAGTTAAAAATAGCAACAATAGGAATTATAGATGATATCTCAATAAAAATCATGGAATCCAGAGACAATGTAATGATATCTTTAAAGTGCTTAAAGAAAATAATATTAATGTAAAATTTCATATCTAACAAAAATCTTGTTTTAGACTTCAATTTGAAAATATTTTCAGGGTTAAAATAGTAGAACTACACTGAAGGATTTTTGTTATACTAAAAATAAAAATTCTAGGTAGATTATAGAACTACATTTGAAAGGTAACATGGAAAAAGACCTTCACATCATTAAGCAAACATCTCTCACACAGGAAAAGCAAAACATTAACCATTAGGAAAAGACTAGAAACCTGGGAAACATTTAAATTAGCAGCTTTAGTTTATCAAAACAGCATTAAGACTGTAAAATAAACCAGAGTAGAGGAAATTTGCCATATATATATATACACATATAACACAAGAGTCCTTGTATGTATGTGTATGTGTGTGTGCATATACATAAAACTCACAATGAACTCATATATAAAGCAACATAACATAGGAAAAACAAGGAACCCAATAGAAAATGAGCATGACACAAACAGACATGTCATAAAAGAGGATATCTTGCCTGGTCACTTAATTTCTTGAATGACTTTTACCAAACATTGCAGTATTTAAAAGCCTCAGCCTTTTCACTATAAACATAACTATAAAATGTTCTAACTCCTTGGACACCATCAGAACTTCTCAAAATACAACATAATTGTTATATTTTATAAGATATGATTACTATAGAACGGAAGTTAATTGACTTCCCTTCTAGCAGTACCTGTGGCTGATTCTTCCAGGAAATCTCTTTCAATGTCATGACTATTAATGGTAATAACCCTGATGATATTACTATAGAGAAACCTCTTTGACATCACAGAGAACTTTCTAGCTAACAGGATGCTAGTCAATTTAATAATGCTCAGTGAAAATAAAGGAGCATACAAAACACTTTTAAGAGCTGAGTGAGACAGGAAAAAAATTGAAGAAAGCAAAACCCAAAAGGCCAATCAGACAGTAAATATTTACGTTGCTGGCCTTATGTTTTGTTTTTTCAAACTCATTGTTTTAAAATATAGTACATTTGTCTGAGAATTCTCAGGTTATGCCACCATATTGGCACAGATTAGCATGAAATGTAATGGCATGTTTCAGATCCATGACAGGTAAGAAAAATCATAGTTGTAGCTCTATATATTGCCATGTTGTTGAGCAGAGGTCTCTTAGACTGCTTTTGAAGATGCTAATGGTATGATTGGTAGACTTATTCATTTATTTATCATGAGTGTACATGATCCATGTGCATGTGGTACGAATATATGACTATGCATGTGTGCAGTGGCAGGCTTNCTTTTGAAGATGCTAATGGTATTATTGGTAGACTTATTCATTTATTTATCATGAGTGTACATGATCCATGTGCATGTGGTACGAATATATGACTATGCATGTGTGCAGTGGCAGGCTTATGTGAATATGCAAGTGCATATGTGTATGCAAGTGTGTGTGTGTGGTGTTCTTTGGAAAGAAGAATGACAGATACTTATTACTCTCATGTATGTGGAACTGTTATTATCCTAAGGGCTTCTCTCCTGCTGGGCAATGCATCTGAGTGCCCCAGAGAAATGATTCCATTTCACACAGACAACAGAATCTGATCAAAGCAAAAATTGTCTCTACAGCCTATTTATTTCAGTTTGCCTGTCCCTCCCCTCATTTTGATTGCTGCTGCTTGGAACACAAACAAGAGCAACATTTCAGGGCTCCTAGCAGGAGATAAAAGGTGCTGAAATAGAAAGAGTCTGGGACAGTCAGTACCAGTTCATTTTCAATTACCAACCTCAACTGTCCTCTTCAAAGCCTTGATTATGATAGCCTTTTGTAGGTCACTTGCATTACATAAAAA